TCATCACTCTTGCCTCAGGGATGAATTTTGCCCTACACTGCTACCAAAGACCAGATCCAAGTAGAGACCCTGCACTGCTAAAGGACTAAGGCAATTACTCAACAAAGAGCCACTGATCCAATGCATTTTTCGAAGCACAAAACACGTTTTAATAAAAATCTAAAGAATCCAGTGATTTCATATGTCAAGAGTAAGCCTGTGTAGGAGATCACATTATGACTGTGTTCTACATGAACAAAAACTCTACATGTGAACACACACGTCTATTGACAGCATGTGCACTGGAATACTTCACAGACAACACAATGGGGAAGAATAAAAATAAAATGCAACTACACCCACCTTTCAGAAAGGAAAAGGAAAAAAAAAGGCACAAAAGGAAAACGAATTATGACCCATGTGGAAACTAGAGGAAAGTCACAGGATGAATAAGCAGTAAGTAGAGATGAGCAGTGTTTAGGGATGTCACAACATTATTTTCCATCTTCTGCTGCACTAAAGCAATGCAGCTTTCCACAAGTTTATTAAGATATAATTTGGCAGTTTTCCAGTCTGACATGACATACATTTTACTTCCATAAACTGTTAATCAGTTTCCAATCCAAACTATGTGTAAGTAATCAACAGTTTAGCATCCTCAAGCAGTACACAGTAATTCATTTCCTTGCACTTTCTGTCTCTGGGCTGGAACATCAAATTATTCTAAACCTTGGTCTCAGGTAATGAAGGGAGGAAAAAAATTCTCAACTAATTTAACTCCAAAAATTAACATGTATCTCTTCCACAGATATTTTCATGTCCTAGAAGAGCCAGAACATTGATTAAAAGGTTTAATTCTGCAAGTATTTACAGAGGTATGGACTATGGGATTCTATTTTTTCTCTCAGACGTCACAGATTCCCAGATTTTGAGCCCTCAAAGAACAATTTGTTTGCTTTTCTTTCAACAGTTTTTCATTAGGAACTTCTTGCTTCAAGGAAGACTATGTAGTCTTTCCTCAGGTAATAGGCTTTCATAGATGTGGTTTCTCCTGACAAATATACCTGTTGTTAGTGTATAAACTTAAAAAAATTCAAGAAATTTAACAAAAAGGTCTGAGAAATCATATTTGTATTTAGATTTATTTTTTTTTTCTAATTAAAATCAGTATACGGCTTTAGTCCACTCTACTGACTAAAGATCTGTATATAGATTGGAAGAAAATGTGATGGCACAGGAGGAAGAAGAGATGTCAAAATTAGGAATTGATAACCTAAATCTTGTGGTAAAGACAATTTTTATTTCTATACTAAATCTTCCATCTACAATCACACTGTGCAAGCTTCATCCTCACTGCCCTATGGGTATTCACTACTGCAGATGTGAAATCATTACTGAGCTGTATTTGCCTGTTAAAAAGTACTTGTGTGCTGCTTGCACAACATAGCCAAGTTTAAAGACCTTGCCCGTGCTATCATAATGCAACCAGTGCCTGCTGAAAGTGCCCAACAACTGTGTTCTGCATTGGAAACCAACT